AAGAAGAACGACAGGTTACCCACCAGTAATTGTAGTTCTTCGAGTGGACCTCTGTGATTCACTCATCCCACCCATCTTCCCCACTGTCACACCATTCTGCTTAATGTAGCGGTGGTTGACACAACTAAAAGGGGAGTCTTGATGCCAAGGTACTTATACAAGGATGCCAAGGTACTTATACGAGGAGGGAGGGGACCTATTCTAATGTGTTTTTTGCTACGGCAGAAGCTCTAGAACTTTCCAGTGAGGCTCCACGCAGGTGTGGATCACCCAAGAACTTTCCAATGAGGCTCCACACAGGTGTGGATCACTCAGCATGAATCACAGAGGTCCTCTTGAAGAACTATAATTACAGGTGGGTAACCTGTTGATCACAATTATATCTATATAAGACTATTACAGGGTGAGCATTTTTAAGCCTAATTGATTTTCTATAAAATCACTTAGGTGAAAATATTACTTGGCACACAATGTATTTGCATATGCACTGTTTCTGCATCTCTGACTTGAATGAATTAAGGTTATCTAGCTTCAGTTACATTCTGTTCTGTTAAATATTTTCCACTGTTTTAGGATTTCCCAACTGAGTACTCTACAGTACTTGTAACACATGTCAATCAGTCAATCAATCAATCAATCTTTATTATTATCACAGATGAGCCACTAAAGATGAAGTCAAAATAAATGCAGTTTGCTAGCACAGAAAGGACTGAGATGTATAGATACAATAACATAACCTCATTATAGGTTGATGAAGATTGTTGGCATGGTGAGGACTCAGATGTTTAATAAAACATGCGTACAACATCAAATTCATAACCTCACCACAAACTGAATGTCTGATGTCACTAGTCAGGGTGATAAGGATATTAGACCACTTGAAATAAGGGGGGGGGCAAAGAGGAAGACTATGCTAGTGCACAAGATTTTATTAACACGTAGGTAGTTTTATTTATTTGCTTCATGCAAAAGGCAGAACTGGAGGAATCCCAAGCCAGAATTAAGATTGCCGGAAGAAATATCAACAACCTCAGATATGCAGACGATACCACTCTGATGGCAGAAAGTGAGGAGGACTTAAAGAACCTCGTAATGAGGGTGAAAGAGGAGAGTACAAAAATGGTCTGAAACTCAACATCAAAAAACTAAGTTCATGGCCACTAGCCCCATCACCTCCTGACAAATAGAAGGGGAAGATATGGAGACAGTGACAGATTTTACTTTCTTGGGCTCCATGATCACTGCAGATGGTGACATCAGCCACGAAATTAAAAGACGCCTGCTTCTTGGGAGGAAAGCAATGACAAACCTAAACAGCATCTTAGAAAGCAGAGATATCACCTTGCCAACAAAGGTCCGCATAGTCAAAGCTGTGGTTTTTCCATTATTGATGTATGGAAGTCAGAACTGGATCATAAAGAAGGCTGAGCACCGAAGAATTGATGCTTTTGAATTATGGTGCTGGAGGAGACTCTTGAGAGTCCCCTGGACTGCAAGGAGAACAAACCTATTCTGAAGGAAGTCAACCCTGAGTGCTCACAGATCCTGAAGCTGGGGCTCCAATAATTTTGTCATCTCATGAGAAGAGGAGACACCCTGGAAAACACCCTGATGTTGGGAAAGTGTGAAAGCAAGAGGAGATACATGGCTCCTAACATTGAGTTCCAAAAAATTTGGCTGGTGCTTATTGTAGTTCAACATCTCATCTTTTAAGTAGACCATGAAATTCACCAATTTACATGTAACTAGGACAAGATGTATGGCACGAGTTTCAAGTCCTGATCAGTATATAAACTCTACGGGGGTACCACCTTGAACTGCGGCACTGAGAATTTTTGAAAGGTCTAGTTTGCTTGCAATCTGAGCTTGTTAGAACTTCTTTCAATTTAGTTTTGTATCTTTGGACCGCATAAAGAGATTTATGGACTTGTATTTTGGAGGAATAGCATTAAAATGTGGATGCAGCAAGTAAGCAGAAGGTCAAATTCTACAAACAAAATCATGGGTCAGCACAGCAAGAGCACTGGGGGACATTAAAAGAGGGTTAGCTGTACACTCTTAAAGTTTAGAGCAGATCTCCCATACTGTGGATTTGTTCCTTGCTGGAGAAAATAAACATTCATAATCAAAAGACAACTGTGATTAAAATTGACAACAGAGGCCAAAGCCCATCCATTACATGCATCTTAATTGGTGATTATTGCCTGAAGCTTTGTGAAAACAAGAACTATACTTCCTTTAATTGTGTCATTTTACCTCCATGGGCTTGGGATTGGTATATGATGTGCTCGTTGATCAGCACGAACTCCTGAGACCTCATCTATTATTAGAAAAATTGCTTGGCTGCCCAGTCTTCTTAATCCCTCAGTACTTTGGCTTTCAGGCCTTAAGGGATTTCTCAGAAAGTTTTTCCATATAAGTAGCATAGCCATTAGGGTGATAGTAATGTAGGGTCTACAGTGGTGCCTCGACTTATGAATGCCCTTACCTACAAACATTTCGACTTACGAACAGCTCTGGACGCAAAATTTTGCTTCAATTTTCGAGCAGAGCTTCGACATAAGAACAGAAAAAGGCAGGGGGGAAAGGTGGGAAATTCAAACCATTGGTGGTGAAGAGGCTGCTTCTTTGTACCTCTTTTGCCCCAACCGTTGGGGGTCAGGGAACTTTTTTACTCCTGTAGCGCAGGAGGAAGGAGAGGTGGGGGTGGCTCTGGATCGCCCAGGCACAGGAAGCCGGTGTGCTCCCTGCTCATCCCTGGTGTGGGTCTACTCATGTGTAAGGGCTGCCAAAGGTGCAGGTCTATTCATGAGTAAGGGCCCCTCCTCCATGGCTGGCCCTGCTGCACCCGCCTTGACTGCCCTACGCTGTGGGCTGGGGCCTGTCGCCAGCCGCCAGCCGCCATCCACCGGGGAGTGAGTGTCATCAGAGGAGGCGTTGGTCTGCCTGGTAAGGTGCTGGTTTTTGCTTTTTAGAAACTTCAGGGTGGGTTATGCAGGGTGGGATTCGGCTGAGGGGGGTTGTGTTTCTGTGCTGTTTGTTTTTGGTGATTTTTTTTTGCAGCCTTCGGGGCTTGCTATGTTTATTTTTGGTTGTTGTTTTTAAAGCCCCAGCACCTTCTGATGGGGCTTTTGTGTGCTTTATTATTTTGGGGTATGTTTTTTTGGTAGTGTGGTGTTTTTTTGTTTTTGTTTTTGTTTTTAAATGCTGGAATGGATTAATCCTGTTCCCATGCATTTCAGTGGGAAATGGTGCTTCGACTTACGAGCATTTCGACTTACGAATACCATTCTGGAATGGATTAAGTTTGTAAGTCGAGGCACCACTGTATAAAAATATGTCTGAAGTCTGAGAGCTGGCCTATTTAGGTCATTTTTGTGTGCCGTCTGACCAGCATTGGCACTGCAATTGTAAAGCAATTATTTTTAGAAGAAGTGTCCATTGGGGATGAAAATTCTTTATCCCTTCAAATCCAAGGAGGATCAAAAAAAGGAAGTTCCAAAAGAAATTAAATGTTCAGCAATAATGCTGGAACTTTTTCTTTTCTTTCCAACAAAACCAATAGCAACCCTGGTCTGATAGTAGGATTTTACTTATATGCCTTTTTATTTCTTTCAGACTACAAAAGAGAAAAGGACTTACTATGAGTACCTCTCTCCTTCCTTTTTTTGTCCCCGCATCTTCACCAAATGGAGCCAAGTTCATTTATGATGTTTTATTTGTTTGTCATTAGCCAAGTTCCACTATTAATCACACCACAGTTGCAGGAGAGAGAGGAGCCCATGGAATGAGTCAGAAGTCTGGAATGGTTACTTTTACAGATACTTGGTGGCTCATGTCAGTACAGCTATTTATATTGGGATATTACATTATCTAAAAACATCAAATCCCACTGTCATAATAGAGCTGGTTTCCACAAGCATCTTCCCTTGTTGCTGTGAACTGGATGGCCATGAGTTCAGCTCCCCATCACAGTTAGCTCTGTTAAATGTAAAGACCTGAATGTTATAGATTTGAAGGGACTATCATGTCATTTGTATTTTAAGGGTTCAGCTGCCATATTTGTGAACCAGAATGTCTTTCCTTTTTCAAGAAACTGAGAAGATGACTACACAGTTTTTCTCCTTCTATTGTCCCCGCTAGAATGGTTAGGATCACTTTAAAGAGTCAGCTACACAATGTTCTTGTTAGACCACTCCAAACTGTCTAATAGAGACCGATCCATTCCAGATTATTCTAGGGCTGGAGCCTACTATTTATTTAGAGTATTTAGGATTCGTCCAAATAAACAAGTTTTCCTTGCTGTCCAGTAATCTAGATCACTGTGGAGTTGAAGATGTATTCTTTTTACACTGTGAAAGGAAGGAGCAGTCAAAACAATTAGGCCCCACCATTTTAAACCATTCCAAAGTGACCCAGTCTACATCGCTGCCTGTCACTAATGTGGCCATATACTGAAAATAAATTGTCTGCAACATACATCATGAGGTAGTTGATATTTTAATGTCCTTAATAGATGTTTCTTGTCCTGAAACTGTCTCAGAGATCACTTTACATGCTGCCATAAATGAAATGTATTGGCCTTCAAAGCAATATGAGTCCCAATCAAATACTGTATATTAAAATAATATGTAATTTTTAATTGTATAAATTTTCCATTTGCCTGGGAGAGAAAACAGGATATAGATATTCTGTACCATATATGGTGCTTTTCATCAAAGGCTGACATTCTATCCTGCATTTTCTTTTAATAATAGGAGAGAAGGTTGTATACACCATCTAGTGGCTAAACTCTGGTTATACCTGCACCTCAGTAATAATTTTCCCCAGTTCGTTGATTTGTTAAACTAAAATATGAAACATATGTTTCTCTTTTTCTATTTCTTCTTATTTTCTTTCTGTATTACTTAATTCTATTAGAAATAGCATTGAATGATAACCTTGTTCTCCGTGTTTTCAAATATGTTTATTCATCTATAATGATCATTCTCTTTCTGTAGAGAAATCCAAGACCTGTGACGTACCAGTTCCAACAAAATCTAGATTACTACAAAGCACGTGGAGCAGATTTGATGAATAAAACTCGGTAATCAAGTTTTGTTTGTCTAATATTTTACCCCAAAAAAGGTGTAAATAGGAAATGATCTGTTAGGATTTCGGAGTGATTGGGACAATTGACCAATTGGGACATCATGCAAGAAATAATGAACACAGATAAAATTATTCTGACTCTTCTAACTCTAACGGCATTTTAAACCGCTAATTGCTAGCAGTTTAAAATGCCGTTCTGGAACCAAGAATGCTATAAATTAGGCATCAAACAGGCTTCCTTTGACTTTTAATGATGTATGCCACCTTGCCTTCCTTTAAAGGAGAAAGGCGGGGTAAAATATTTTAAATAAATGAATGAATAATTGCACTGGGCAGCTTTCTTTTTGAACAGGAAACTATGCAGAGCTAGGCCTCTGCTAGGCCACAAAGCCTTCCAGCTTAAGCTTTCAAAAATCATAATAAACGTAGAACTGCAGAGCTGGAAGGGTCTCTATGGATCACCAAGTCCAACCCTTGTCAAGGAGGCACAGTTTGGGATCGAACTCCCAGCTCCACAGCTCGATACCTAAACTATTGAGCTATCCAGCAGCTTTTCTCCCACTTGAGGTGCATTTAGTTGTCCATAAGTGACTGACTGTCAGGTGGGACTCCCAGAATGGAGAATTCTGTTATGGTCTTAAAAGGATCACAAATGGCACATATCTACTAGTTATTTTAAGGAAATTGTGTTAATCCTAAACTAATCTGAGGGAGAAGACATGGAAAGAAAAGTACTGGTAATTATCCCTAAGCAGTGTGTATTCAACTATCAGTGTTGTAGCTCTTCATACAAGTTGTCTCAGAAGATCTGTAGGCACTTATGTAGATGGTAATTCCCATTTTCAATTGACTGAACAACTTACATTGTATTCTGCTGGAAGGAACAATTCTTTGACAAGGAGAAATTGAAAAGAAAACGCAGCTGAGTATTACATATTTTATTTATTTGGTTCAAGTTTAAATTACAATGTGGGTTTGCAGAAATTGGTGCAGATTTTAAAAAAACACACAAATGTGCATTATTATAGCAATTTGTTTGCAGTTCCATATATAAAGAAACAAAACTTCAGTTCTCCTAAATAAAATATGTTCATCTACACAAAGTCAGCAGAGACAGAATCATTGCTCGGCTTGTTTTAAAACATGTGGTTTATATCCAAGATCAGTTAATTTTGCTCCAAAGGCTGGATACATATCTCTTTCAGATTAATATTTGTAAAACCTAGTACCTTGCTTTTAAATTTATATTTTAATGATTATGCAGCATAATCAATCCTCTTTTTTTCCTAATTGTTGTGCATTTCTTATACATCTTGATGAATACACAGATATTGATCCTTCTTTGATGGCTGCAATCATCCATTACATCCGTATATCAAAATGTTCAAATGCAGCATGAAGAGGAGATTACCCCATTGTCAAACTATCTCCTCTGGAACTAGCTTCTCATCTTGCTTGCTTATAGCTGCAACATAGGAAGGTTGTGCTGTTTTTCAGTCACAATTCTGGTCCACAAAGTTATCAAAATTGAGATGAGGGACATGATTGCACCATTTCAGCTTTGTCCTTTCTCAGTTATTCCAGACAGGTTAATGGCTCTTCTCAAAGCAGACGTTTCCATTTCTGACACAGGCGAATCTGGTTTGTACAGACAGGAAGACAAAGACATCTTCAGACAAACGTTCCACACTTGCACACACTCAGCTATACAGAGAGAAGAAAAAACCCAACATCATTAAATTTTTTCTTATTTATAGACTGCCTTTCTCCCAATAAGAGGACTCAAAGTGGTTCACAGTATTAAAAAGAATAGAATTAAAAACACAATAAGTTGTGCATTAAAAATAATTTAAGTGTAAAATTGATTAAAATACATTGAATGATTAAAAGCATATAAAACATTTTAAACTATCTTAAATAAAAATGGCATTCAGGAACTCAGTCATTCGCCTGCCTGAATAGGTGGGTCTTCAGCTGTTGGCGGAAGGATAAAAGGGAGGGGGCCAGCCGGACCTCCCAAGGGAGAGCCTTCTGTAACCTGGGAACAGCCACAGAGAAAGCCCTCTCTCACGTGCACATCAACCATCCATACTCTGGCAATGGGACTGAGAGGAGGCTTTCCTCTGATGATCTCAAGTGCTGAGAAGGCTCAGATGGGGAGAGAAGCCCAAGCTCCATGGGGCTTCATAGGTAGTGACCAGCACTGAATTGGTCCCAGAAACAGACTGGTAGCTTGTGCGATTATTGTAATGGGGTGTTGTGTGCTCCCTATATCTGGCCCACTCAGTAGTCTGGCTGCTGTATTTTGAACCAGCTGAAGTTTCTAAACTGCCTTCAAAGGTAATCCCACGTGTAGTGCATTACAGGAATCCAAGCAGGGGGTGACTAAGGCCTGTGTCACTGTAGCCAAATCAGTCACAGCTACCACACCAGATTTAACTCTGCAAATGCACTCCTGGTCACTGCCAAAACGTGGACATCCACACTCAGGAATGAATCCATTAAGTACACCCAAGCTGCAAACCTGAGTTTTCAGGGGGAGTGTAACCCAGTCCAACATAGGTTGTATCCTTAATCCCTCATCTCACTTCCAATTGACTAGAAGCACCTCTGTTTCATCTGGATTAAATTTCAGTATGTTTGCCCTCATCCAGCCCATTACTGATGTCAGGCACTGGTTTAGAACCAAGACAGCTTCCTTGGAATTAAATGGAAAGGAGAGATAGAGTTGGTTAGCATCAGTATACTGGTTACACCAAACATTGAACAAACTCTCCCAGCAGTTTCATTTAGATGTTAAAAAAAACATGGGGACAAAGCAGAACTGTGAGGGACACTACAGGCCAGTGGCCAGGGCATCGAACAGGATTCCCCCAGCACCACTTTCTGAGTTCTCTGGATCTTCCAGGAAGGACTGGAGCCACTGTAAAATATAATAAAAGTCACTGAAATAAGATTCACATGTCTAATAAAGGTATTGATTTAAGTTGGCTTAGTCTAAGTATGAGTATACCTTGTGTTCTCTGTGTGCACTCTAACATTGTCCTGGTTTTGCATTTTTCTTTTAAGTTTAAAAAAAAAATCTGAAAGATTTTTGCACTTCCATGTAAGCAATTAATAGCTACTATGTGGTTTTCTTTTGTGTTACAGAGTCAGTGCCAAAGTAGCTCCACTGAACATAAATAAAGTTTCCAGCAGCTTGTTGAATTTTGGGCGAAAGCTCATTTCCCCAGCTATCACTTCAAGTGGTGCTCCTGGACCAGTTTTAGGTAGCAGTGGTAACTTCTCCTCTGTTCCAGTGCCAGTTAGGAGCATTGTAGAGCTCCCACAGCAGCAGCAGCAGCAGCAGCAACAGCGAATGATGAAGTCAGAAAGTGTGCCAGTTCAACTAAGCAAAGGTAAATATATGAAATTACTAATTCCTGGGAAGATAGCCTGCAGTAAAAAAAAAACAAAAAAAATATAAAATAAAGAAGATGAATGACTTTTAGCCAAACATCTGGTTGGCTGGATCAACTCCACATAGACATTTCATTTTTGCTACTGATCGTGTTGACTTTCTTTTCTAAGTTTATTTGTTCTTCAGTTTTCCTTTCCTTCTCCAACTCCTACCTATTGTTTTCTCTTGTTTTCACTCATTATGCCCTCTTGACCTCTCTCCTTTGTATTCCTCCTTTTAATGCTAACTTTTTGGATTTATCCTCATACAGGAAATGAGAAACCTTCAGAATTTTTATCCTCAATAGGAGCTGCCCCAAGGCAACTGGTGTTTGTTTTGTTCAATCTCAGGGAAACGTGCACATTTTTGCAAATTGTTCTCACACTGCTCTGTAAAACAAAGAATACTGGAAATGTGATCTGTACCATGTTACATGAACTAGTAAAGTGGGACAGGTTATTTGTGTCTTTGGGATCAGGCATTCTGTCCAGTCGTACTGGCTGAGTATGGAGGCTAAGCTTCACAAAGGGAAAAGGCACTCATTTTACAGAGACGGCAGTTCTATTCATATTCTGTGCAAACTGGGGAAAAAAACAGGCCAGCAGAAATAGTTGGTCTCAAGCCTGAATGAAGTTCTCCAGAGGGGAACATATAAAATCCTCAGGGAGCCTTTCTCAACTCTAATCTTGGCAACTATGAGATATTTTTCACACACCCTACCTTCTGCCTCCTGTTTTCCTATGTCTTGGCTTCTATAATCTTTTCCCGTCTCCATTTCTCAATCCTTCTCTGGGTCAGAACAACTCTGCCTGTATGATATTAAGAAAGTTCTGTCAGTCATTGCCAAATATATAATCATCACGAGTACCACAAGTGGATTATCATCATACATCATAATTGTATATCATATTGGAACTAGATGTTAAGTATATTAAATTAATTTGTTTTTCTTACACTGAAACAAATGAAAAAAAAAGTATTGTAACTCTGCCAAATGTAACTTATAGTCCTACTTGAGGATACTGTGGATACAGATTGGTGTGTTTGCAGTGTTTATACATCACCAAACATAAATGGGAGAAATTACTACATTTAACCAAATGTTTATAGTCCATTTTACATTACATTGGAATTACAGGTTGGAGAAAGCAGCTATATTTTCTGCCATAAATGAGCTAGTAGACAGACTATGAGTTCTCCAGTTCCATTAATGATTTATACAGTACATTTGTTCCTTTTGCAGTTTTTGCCACTAAGATGAAATCACATTTATTATCAAACCAGTGTGTACTTCTCTCCTCAGGAAGTAGATCTCAGTCTCAAATGGAGGACTGTTAGTGTCCCTGCCCTATTAAGTCTTCTGCTACATATTTGCTCACTATTAGTGGTGATTTTACAGGCCTTGAAGCAATGGTTCCCAACCCTGAGTCCCCATATGTTCTTAGACTAAAATTCCCAGAAGCCTTCACCACTAGTTGTGCTGACTAGGACTTTTGGGAGTTGTATTTCAAGAACATCTGGGGGGCCCAAGGGAAGCACTGCCTTAAAAATAGATAAGCTGCTGCTTTCATACTGATGTTTCTCCTCCAATGCTTGCTCGGAGGGACAGGATTATGAAAAAGCCACCAAGCCTGAGGCTGTGAAGTGATACCTAGCATAACATGTAAGACACTGTGTCACATACACTGTTCTACTGTAAATCACAGTGTACTATCTACTGTAATTTACAAGACAGTTTTGTAATAATCAGGAAAATAGTATTTGACTAATTTGTGTAAAATCCCTACTTTCTTTGGTAAGTGATTTTGAGAGAGAATGTGGGATTCTAGATTTTCATATTTTATTTTTAACCTGGATCTCACTATTAGTACAACAAAGGGCATTAAGAAATTGCTGGAATTGCTATTATTAGTATCTTTGTAAAACATTTTAACAAGATTTCAAAGAAAATTGGAACCTAGTATTATCTACGGTATTGAAATGCCATGCCTTCTCCTCCTTCTCCTTCTGGACGTTCTGCTTTTAAATGGACATTCATTGAATTTACTGCCATACCTTAGGTTCATTGCAATATTTTAAAACTACAACTAAGCATTTTATATGGCTCAACTTTACTGTTATTCAATAAAACCATATTTGGCTTTGTATGATTTGCTCAAAAAATACTGATCATGTAGAGACAGTCCCAGAAAGCCAGACCCCCATGCAGGTGATAAGCTGTTCTGAAAGGCGATCATTTTATGGATTTGAAAGACAACTGCCAGGTTTTTTTTCAGTTCTTCTGAAGTACTGTATTAACTTCTAACAGTAATACCAAAAATAATTTTAGCATATAAACAATCAAGAGTTGCATCCCAGTGTAAAATCTACAATACATCTCTCCTGTTATTTGTAAATAGCAACTGCATAATCCAAGAGTATTTGTCAGAATAGAAATCAATCAATCAATCAATTGATAGAACTCAGTCAATCCATCAATAAAATAAATCTTTCACTATTTGCTTTATTGTCTAGAGCAAATCCTACCACTCCTAGAGAGCCCCTGCAGCCTCTAATGATGATGGCTCAAATTAAACTTCTCACAGTGTTCCCCGGGAATTGTTCATCTAAAATTTCTAAGCCACAGAAAACTTAGTTACCAGCCATTGACATTTCAACTAGCCTAGACGTTTGAGATATCTCAGTTGCTCTTAACAAAAACCTAGAATGCCTCTGACAGAAACATGAACACGACAGAGTCTTTGGACATGAAGAAGCATAAGGAGTTTAAATCCACAGTACAATTGGGAAAAGTGTGCTTCTGTAGTAAGTTTTAAAATTACAATTTTAGATGTCAACAATTATTAGAATCGGGCTTTGACTTATCTTCAGCTTGTCACAGAGAAAGGTTGGCCTAGGATGGGTTGTGTAGTAAGTTGTGTACTATAAAATAGCCAGAATCAGAAACAGAAGAGGCCATTAATCTTACAAATACTTATGAATACTTATGCATTTAGTGCAGGATGAAACGTGTGGGGTTGGATGTTCACTTGCTCCCATAACTTAGATGAGAAATTGGAAAAATAAATAAAAGAGTCAAAGATGAGAAAAATAAAATGAAATAAGGAAGAACAAGGCAAACTGCAATGCACTAGCATCACTATTCATGTGCCTGCTTTGTATAAATTTACTACAGTAGGAACACCATATCTGCTGGAGATTGGTTCCAAACCCCCCCATGGATACTGAAAACTGTGGATAATTGTGAAATATAGATATTTCATGGTAAAAGGAGAGGGGACAAAAAATTGTTCTCATATGCATTACCAGAAGTGGCCACTAGAGTCCATGCTGTGTATTTGTCATTAACAAATATTCATAGCATGGTCTCTGGCTCCCTCTAGTGTCCAGTTCTGGTAATACATGTGATAATAGTTTTTTCTGAATTTTTTTCTTTTAATATTTTTTATATTTTCAGACTGTGGATAAGTGACTTGGTGGATACTGATCCCGTGGATAAGGGAGCCCTACTGTATTGTCAAAAACAGCAGAAAACCTCATTAAACAAACTAAGCTTTATTGTTATATTTTTATTATTGCTATATTTTTATCCCTGTTATATTTTTATCCCAAATGTTACTAGTTCATCATATGGTCATCTCACTTCTGAGTTACTTCACATTACAGTAAGGGCAGAGAAGCTAGCAGGGATAAATTGTTGGTACAGGTGATGTATTAATCCTAGTAGTATACAGTTCTGTCTAATTTGGATTGTTGTAAGTGTGTAATTTGGTTGTCAGTCATTTGACTCTCATTTAAAAGTTTGTGTACAAGCCTGAACCGCTGTATAAATAGAAATTCCAAGGCTGCTTTTTTAAAAGAATCAAGCACTAACTATGAAATCCTATTATTTAGTCTCTAATGGTATGAAACTGCCTAGGCCCTGAAGAGTATATTTCTAACAACTGATACATTATCAGCTTTTTCTGTGAGGTGATAAACATTGTTTGAGTGCTTTTTAGTAATGTACCTACTAAATGGTTATTGCCATTTTCTCGCCAAACATTTTTTCTTAACAATTATTTAAAATCTCATTTTCACTGTGCATGTCAGAGATTTAACCTGACCTCAAATGAATGTCTTATATTTTAGAATGTATATTTGGTACATTGTTTTACAGTGTTAAACAATGGAGGTTTTACAAAGTAATACATGACAAACGAGCAAACAAACACTCCGCGGAGGACAGAATTGAGAAGGAAGGGCAAGATAGGAAGTGGGGCAGGGGTTGAGTTGTCATTATAGGGTGACGGTTATTGGATTTATATGTTAAGGAAATCAGACCAGGTGTAAAATATAGCTCCTCCTTTTTGATTTTTCTTTACACAGAAGCTGAAATATCTGGTTTATTTATGCAACTATAAAGACCTTTTAACTTTTTAATTTATTAGGAGATGTAGTTACAGGCAATGAGGCTCAAGTATCGGTTCCTGTCCAGAATCTAAGTGCCCTCCAAGGGACAGTTGCTACAGCAACTCATGGTATGTTTTTGCCTGTTAACATTGTCTTTGGGAACCCCAGACTTGCACTGGTTTCATTGTGGTGTTGTCATTTCCAGTGTGTACCATATGTCATATATCCACAGAGTGGCACTGTTGTTTAGAAAAAAGAAATGTGATTTCATAGCCCTATGAGATATGCCCAGTGTGGTTCTTTTATTTTCAGTGGCAGCTTCACTCTTTACTAACTTCCTTTAATTTCACATTCTTATTTCCCTAGACTTTAAGTAGGTCCTCATCTTTTTGCCACTTGCTCTAGCAAACCAATCACTGTATGAAACAGCTTAGGGGTTTTTTGCCACTTGCTCTAGCAAACCAATCAAGTCCACTGTATGAAACGGCTTAGGGGCGTAGATATAGTATCTTCTTGTTATCATGGGATCCAGTTGAGAACCTATATTTTAAGCTAGCACATTTTAGTTCTGTAAGTCCATTCAGCAGAAATAAAATAATATCCTGTTCACATTTCTTTCACTGGTTTTCTTTTCAACACTTTCTCAGCCAATCTTTGTTAATTTCCTGAGCCAAAGTAGTATTTAAAAATATATATTTTCATTTCTTTTATTATCAAATGGCACAGCTGGTTTATGTGTGTGTGTGTACCTTTGGCTCCTGTCACATTCTTTTTGTTGGGGGAGGGAAATGTAAAAGGTCCAGTCTGAAGCTAATGTTGACAGTTCTCCACAACTGGGCAGTTCTTAACTTTTGTTATTAGTGTCGACAATGGGGACAAAGGCAAACATTTGGTTTTTGCATAGTGTAACATTTTTGTGCCACTTTGGCCAACAGTCCGTGCCCTCAGGGAGGTGTCCACTCAGAGGCAGCACCCTGAGGAGGCAGGGCAGGGAAGCTGGGGCACTGCTTCTGATTGGGCACCTGCCAGAGGAGGCAAGGTGCCACACTGACATTTTGTGCCCATCTGTAGACTTTTCTGCAATAATCATGGACTTTTTATAACAAAAGTCTACATATTCGTACAAAACATGTCAGGTCACATGCATCTTACATGATCTTCTCCTATGGCAATTGTATCTGACCCTAATATTATTTTCCCTTTCCTCTGATATTTCCATTTTACCTATACTGCTCCTCACTGTATTACTTCCAGTAGGAGGACTATGATTCTGCCTTCCTTCATTAAATAGGTATGAATATCCATTGCCTTTTTCAGATATTCAAACTTTGGTGTTTTTGAAGAAAAAAGGCAAATAACTTTTGTAAAAAGAGAGTCATGTGTTCCTTACACACTACAATGCGGGAGTAAGTGATAATTTTTTGAGCCACTAAAAAAAAAATTAAACAGTCTGCTAGTTTTTGTGGATTAAAGTCTACTTCTTCAGACATGCATCAATAGTTTTTGTGGATTAAAGTCTACTTCTTCAGACATGCATCAGTCAATTGTGCAGAGAAATTATGGTCCCAAAAGTTCATGGTAGATGGTTGTGCCAGACTTGTTTCTCAGAGGTACGTAAGTTTTTAAAAGTGCAGGCTGCGTTGAAAGTGTGGCTTTCAATACAACTCACAACCCAGCTCCTCAAACAAAGAAACCCAGGAATTATATGTATAAAGTTTGCTGCTTATATGTCACAATGGCACTAAAAGTACTTTCTGGGCAGTTTACAAGATGGTTGTGCCAGACTTGTTTCTCAGAGCTATGTAAGTTTTTAAAAGTGGAGGCTGTGTTGAAAGTGTGGTTTTCAATACAACTCAGGTAGCTTTTGTTTGACTATCACAACCCAGCTCCTCAAACAAAGAAACTTTGCTGCTTATATGTCACAATGACACTTAAAATACTTTCTGGGCAGTTTACAATACTGTACGTGGCCTTCTTTTCTCTTTAGCTGAATTTTGCAGCCAGAGAAGTCTGTAACTCGAAAAGTCTGTAAGTCGAGCCGTCTGTAAGTCGAGGGTCCACTGTACTGTACATGGCCTTCTTTTCTCTTTAGCCGAGGAACAAGGTAACACAAAAAACCCCAGAGTCCTCCATCAAGAAACTGGGGTGAAACTTTTGTAGCTACTTAAATTCTTCAGTCCGAGCTCCAGATAAGAACTTTCTGATAAAGAAGAACTATGTAGCTGATGTGGCTAAGGTGCCTCTAGCATTGACTGGCTTGCCACCTGTGTACCTTCCTAAGGAAAGTGGATTTGACCACAAAGTTTTATGCTTTTATTACCTCCGAGTTAGATTTCTATAATGGGCTCTATGCGGAATTAGCATTGAGAAGTGTTCAGAAGCTACAGCTAGTGCAAAAAGCAGTCTTGAGGCAACTGCTCTCATTTCCATTTTGTTTCTGAGCAAAATTCAAGGTGCTGGTTTTGATTTACAAAGCCATAAATGGCTTTGAGCCAAGTTGTTTGAAAGGCTACTCCTTCCCATCTGCCTGGAATTTGAGATTTTCCATGGAGGCCCTGTGAAATATAGGGTGGAGAATATAGGGTGGTGAGTACATGGGAGGACAGAGCTTTCGCTTTGTAACTGTCAAATTCTCTTTCAAAGAAAGTCAGGTTTGTTCCATCCCTTATGAACTTCCAGTGGAAAACCAAGATTGTATTGTTTGATATGGTCTTTGGGGTGTAAAAATAGTTTTTAAATTGTTTATCTGCTTTTGAAGACTGTTCGCTGAAGGACCTCAAAATCTGAGAATGAATGAATGAATGAATAATTTGCACAACATGTTAGTAATAGTAAATAGAATCCATGCTAAAGAAAGTTTTGTCAGCAACACTTGTAAGAATGAAAGGATTATCATAAGATGAGATAGTTGAAGTTAAATTCAGTTTGCTATGTAATCTTCTCCAAAGTTTTTGTTTTTCCTTGTAAAGCACTAGGTAATTCAACATACTTCTGGTTTGTCTTGGACACCGATTTCTTATAGGTGGTGTTTTGTTTTGTTTTTAGTCATTAGCAGCACCAGTTTTGGAGGAGAAGCTTAAACAAAACATCAATTCCTCCTGTGGTATTTCGTATTTTGCCAGTTGTCCCTGATTGCAAGTGTTACACATCTTGATTCTTTCACGCTTTCTTTCCTTTATTATATTCATTTCATTTTATACTACAGTTTACAATTTATAATAATTGATGAGCTTCAGAAAGGAATATTCTATTAACTAGAATGGCAAACATGTCACCTTAAGTCCATTTAGCTAAAGATCCTGTTCTCTAGCTCCAAGACTTCACAACAACTACGTGTCCCATAAGTTGGAAGTAAAATGACAATTGATTAGAAGCCCTTGGCTAACTACTTTCAGACAGTCTTTTATAGAGCAGCTATATGAGGAAATAAATATGGTGAGATTTCAGTTCTGCTTGGGAAGCAGGTGTTGAAACACTGCAGAGTTAAGCACTTCATTATATTTTTACTGTTGAAGGTCACTATGCAGGAATGTAGATAACTTTCTACCACATTAAATTAGTGTAATTAAAGATTATGAAGATTGCATAGCAAGCAGCATGTGTTCGTTTAATATTTCAAATACCATAATTTTCCTATCCTTTGTTCAAGCATGGCAACAACAGTGTTTTACAGCAGCCAGTGAGCTTTATGGCCGAAAATATGGCATTCATGTGCAGTACCTGCTCCAGAGATTGTGGGGATTCACTACTAAGTAAAGATATGGCATAGAGTAGAGGACTACAGCTGGCAGGAACATAAAGAACATGAGAGTTACACCAGGTACACCTCTTGACTTCACAAAGAAAATAGTAGATTATTCTAGAGCAGTGGTTGTCAAACTTGGGTCCCAAAATAGATTACATTGGACTGCTCTGTAAGTACATCAGTTTCCACATGTGATCATACCTGGAGTTTAGAATACTCTAAATAATTTGGGACCATCATTAATTGTAGAACTGCCTTCACTCTACCTGCTCATTAGAATATGCTGGAGAGGTTCTCCTTTGTAGCCCATACAGCTGAGTTATGCTAAGCTGACAGAAGACACCAAGCCTTTTAAACTCCCTTTCTAAACCTTCCTTTCAAAGCCTTCTATCCATATCTATAGTACTGACATCTTCTGTTGTTGAATAGTTTTCTACCTTCTGAAATTTTATCTCCTGTGTTTACAGTGTTACTCCATTATGCTTTGATTCTTCTAGTTTCACTGTTAGCTTCTGTAACTCTTGTTAACAGTGCAGGTAAAGTGTGGAGTAAAATCATTTAAGAGAAGTAATCTACTCCAGCTAAACAGCATAAAGCTATTCTGGCATCAGAATATGATTTTTTTTCTGGCTTTAAAAATGAAAAAACACAAGTGAGCATTGATTTACGTGATGATTATTTGATACAAGATATGAAGACTTATGTATTACTTTTAAAGTATATATTAATTTCTGTCACAGACTTAATAATGAACAAGAGGAGCTTTTGAATACTCTCAGAATTAAGACTTTGCAAGTGGGATCTATAAGAAAATTTGCAGCACAAAGCATTCTGTTTCAGGGTAGTAGCCAGCCATGTCTGGCATACTCCATTCTTCTCTCATATCCCTTCTCTACTCTAGTGCCCCATCCTTCCCCCAAAAGACCATCAAATTCTATACCAGAATGAGGATTAGTTTCGCAGCTTCTATTATTATATATAAACCTTGCTGATACCTTTCTCTTATGAGTGTGTGGAACCATATTGACTTCATATGTATCAGCCCTGGGGACAATGAATTTGCTAGTGATATACAGAATCCCTGTATCCTATATACATCAAATCAAAAACCTTTATTGGCATATGCAAAACAATTGCTTATACAAGATAACAAACAACTTATTAATTAACTAGATCTACAAATTCATTATGTCTCGATCTGTGTTTCCTCACTCTCTGATTCAAATAGGCCACCACATCCTGCATTGGAACTGACCATAATGACCTCAATGTGTCACAATCCGAATGGCCCCTCTTTTTTCTAGATATTTTCTGCGGATATCCGTATAGAATGGACAATATAAAAACATATGAGAGAGTGGTTCCACTCCACCCAGCCCACAGGAGCAACACCTATATACATATAATCTGACCTTCCCTTATTTCTACTTTTGCTGCCATTTCATCCTTTCCTTCCAGATTTGTAATGCAGCAAACAGTGTGCAGAAATCAAGTACTGAATGCAGGCTTTTCATAATGTAAGGTCTGTGTTTCTTGTACAGCATTCATTTTTTGATTTTGACTTTGTGGCTGTTTGGTGCAAGGTATGTGCTAAAGAGACCTGACTCTGTGCAGGCCTGTCTGTTTCACAGCGGCACTTCATACCTCCCTATGTGTATGGACAGATGGGCTTTGATGTCATGAAATCTCACTCTGTGTCGATCTGTTTATGAAAAGCCCTGAGTGACATTTCAGATAGGGACCTCTTTGATGGCAATGTTTTCCAGTGACTTTTTTTTCTTGACTATTTGCTTTACAGGGCAGAGTTCAAAAAATGTCAGCGCTTCTCCAAGCACTGAAAGTTTGTCTGGAGGACGTGAATACACAGGGTCTCCACCTTTGTCTGCAACCAAAAAAGAATCATTTTTCAGTACTATTTCCCATTCTCGTTCTCACAGCAGAAGTATGAGCAAAAAAGAGTCTGTAAGTCACTAACGCTTGCGAAATGTATTTTGTTTATTCCATATTGTTTTACTTAATTTTTACTGTTCTGCTTATAAAAGTAGACTGGCATGTATCTGTTTGTGGAAAGGAAACACAGTATAAATCTGTTCTTAACTTTAATGGAAGAGTATTTCACCTGGATTCTACCTTCTTCTGATTTCTAGCTCATGCGTTGTCTGCACATCTCTTCCCTCATATAAAAAGAACACTTGGTTTCTTCAGTTTACCAACTCTGAACCTCATGCCTTATATAGGGCTGCCAGTATGGCTGTGTAGAGAAGTTGTATGCCCTATTCCAGTACTAACTACATGTGTAAATGAATCATGTTAGGAGGGGAGCACACTAACCCCACCACCTCCAGTTCCAATTTTCTTGCACTCCTGTGCATTGCAAAGAAATAATATGCAGCAAAAGAGTGTCCTTTGACTGTGGAGACTCCACATGTGAATCGGAATCTTGATTTATTTATTCACTTGGAGAGCCTCCATGAATACAGAACATTCTCCTCTTCAGGACAGTTTGTCCTTTGGCCAAACAGGTGTTCAGCCTTTCTCAGCCCCACCTCCTTCAGCAAGTGCCCACTCAGAGGCAGTGCCTGGAGAAGGCAGGGCAGAGAAGCCAAGGTGCTGCCTCTGAGTGGGTGGCTGCAGGAGGAGGCAGGGCTGAGTAGCATCAAACACATGTTCAGCCAAAGGAAGATCTGGATTCATAAGTCGTCACAGTGTAACTATTGTGACTCTCTAGTAGCTAGTGATGCTATTACAGCAGAACATTTCAGTTCTCACTCTAACTGGTTGTCCATGTTCCACATAGGGATAATTTTTCAGGCAGAGCTTTCCTTGCCTGAAACAAAAGCAAGATGACATTGCAGGGATGGGATCAACAGAATACACGGGTACCTTATTTATCTCTTATGTCTTCTTGTGTCTAACAGAGATTATTGGCAAAGGAAAATGGTAAGAAGTCTAGTTTACAGTGACACAATTCTGTGGTCTAAAGTCTATGCTGAGAGGCATTTGAGATATTATATGCCTTTTAAATGTATATTCTAATAGTAACGTGGGGTTATGTCACAAGTAAATTTGTTTTCAGAATGTTAGTATAAGAAAAATGGAGTGCATCTGTTATCAGACCATATCAGCTCAGCAAATTGTGAGGAGTGGTGGGAGCTATAGTCTAACACATCTGGAGGGCGTGTTGGTGACTGTCCCTGTACTGAATATGTGGTTGTATGCAGTATGTCATGTGACTATTGTAAATAAGTGTTGTTTGTAATGAACAAAAATGACACTGTGAAACTGTTGAGCAAGTTGTATTTGTTGCTGTCTCACAAATAGGCAGCCAGTTCACTTCAGGACATAATTCTAGAGCTTTCTGAGTAGATTATAGCAGTGTAAAACAGTAGATTTGTGGGAGGCACTTGTTACAGTTTCCTAGAACTGAACTTCCCAGAACTGGTAACTGTTTTTTTTCACATAGGGTGAGATCATAGGTTGAATTTTCTTCTCCTTAGTGGCTTTCAAAGCAGAACCACTTGCTAAATGTCACTATTGTGGTTTCCCCCTCCCGTGCTAGTATTGATACTGCTGTCATATTTCTAACTACAATAGAAAGGTATTTTTTCTGATTCCTCCGAAGGAATCTGCAGTGGAATCTTCTTTCCATTTGCTTTGTCCAGTCTAAATTTAGAATTATGCATAACTCTATAAGAAGACTGGCAGTTTTGCTCTTTTAAAAGACTATAAAAGTATATCAGAATAGCATCACAAATATTCTTCTGCCTATTTCTTGACAAAGAATCCTATGAGACCATTGGAAAGGCATTAAACATATGTAGGCTGCTTTAGTTAAATTCATTAATAGCTAAGAAATCTACAGTTAATTTTAATCACATTGAATCATGTCTACAAATATAACACAATTTGTAGACTAGACCATTGTTGTAACAAAGTACAATTGTACTTTGTGACTAACCTGGGGAAAATAATGAATGCAGTATCAGTTACTAGTAGAAATATTAAATGTGTGATAGCCTTACAGTTAGTCGCATGAAATGCACATAGACACTTAGCATTCATTTGGGAGAATATCAAAATGGTGCCCCCTGTGACAATGAAATTAATAGCATAATTAATGGTAGTCTAAGACCTCACCTAGTATAATGACAAGGCTAGCCCTGTAAGACCTTTTGAAGTGAGTATCTGTGTAACTCACAATACCAAAAAGGATGTCAAAACTGCAAGGACATGTTCCACTTGATATCCTAGTTAAACTTTTCTGACATCACTGTGTTCAGTTACCAAGAATCAGTTGTTTATATCCATAAGGATGCCAAAGTTATAAGCTGTAAACTGCCCTAAAATCAAAAGATGGGATCCAGAGCAAATAAGTTGCACTGTGGACCTCCTTAAATCAATAGGAATTTAATTTTTTATTGTCAGCTATTGATATTTTAATGTCAGCTATTGATACCCCTTCATGGATTGCTGCCTTGTCATGGCAAAGGGGCTTGAGTAATTCAGAGAACCTATGGGCTATGCCGTGCAGGGACACTCAAAATGGACAGGTCAGAGGGGACAGTTCTGACTAAACGTGATCCACCTGGAGCAGGAACTGGCAAGCCACTCCAGTATCTTTACCAAGAAAACCCCATGAAAAGAAGCAAAAGGCTAAGGCTTATGATACTGGAAGATGAGCACCTCAGGTTGGGAGGCGTCCAACATCCTACTGAGGAAGAGCGGAGGACAAGGACAAGTAGCTCCAGAGCTAATGAAGTGGTTGGGGCAAAGCTGAAAGGATACTCAGCTGTGGACATGCCTAGAAGTGAAAGGAAAGTCCGATGCTGCAAAGAAAAATACTGCATAGGAACCTGGAATGTAAGTTCTATGAACCTTGGTAAGTTGGATGTGGTCAAACAGGAGATGGCAAGAATCAACATTGACAATCCTGGGCATCAGTGAACTAAAATGGACAGGAATGGGCGAATGCAATTTAGATGATTATCATATCTACTATTGTGGGCGAGAATCCCATAGAAGAAATGGAGTAGCCCTCATAGTCAACAAAAGAGTGGGAAAAGCTGTACTGGGATATAATCTCAAAAATGATAGAATGATTTTAATATGAATCCAAGACAGACTTTTCAAAATCACAGTAACCCAAGTTTATGCACCAACCACCATTGCTGAAAAGGTTGAAATTAACCAATTCTATGAAGACTTACAGCACCTTCTAAAACTGACACCAAAGAAATATGTTCTTCTCATTATAGGGGACTGGAATGCTAAAGTAGGGAGTCGAGATAAAAGGAACAACAGGTAAGTTTGGCCTTGGAGTTCAAAACAAAGCAGGGCAAAGGCTAATAGAGTTTTTTCCAGAGAACAAGCTGGTCATCACAGACACTCTTTTCCAGCAACACAAGAGGTGATTCTAAACATGGACATCTCCAGATGGGCAATACCGAAATCAGATTGATTATATTCTCTGTAGCCAAAGATGGAGAATCTCTATAGAGTCAGCAAAAACAAGACGTGGAGCTGACTGTGGCTCTGATCATCAGCTTCTTAGAGCAAAACTCAAGTTTAAACTGAAGAAAGTAGGAAAAACCGCTGGGCTAGTCAGGTATAATCTAAACCAAATCTCTTATGAATACACAGTGGAAGTGAAGAACAGATTTAAGGAAATCGATTTGGTGGACAGAGTGCCTGAATAACTATGGATGCAGGCTTGTAACATTATACAGGAGGCAGCAACAAAAACCATCCCAAAAACCATTCCTCAAAAAGGAAATGCAAGGCTGGATATTGTCTCCTTGCTTATTTAACTTACATGCAGAATACATCATGTGAAAGGCAGGACAGGAGGAATCCCAAGCTGGAATTAAGATTGCCGGAAGAAAGATCAACAACCTCAGATATGCAGACGATAACACTCTGAAGGCAGAAAGTGAGGAGGAATTAAAGAACCTCTTAATGAGGGTGAAAGAAGAGAGTGCAAAAAATGGTCTGAAGCTCAAGATAAAAAAACTAAGATCATGGCCACTAGCCCCATCACCTCCTGGCGGATAGAAGGGGAAGAAATGGAGGCAGTGACAGATTTTACTTTCCTGGGCTCCATGATCACTGCAGATGGTGACAACAGCCATGAAATTAAAAGATGCCTGCTTCTTGGGAGGAAAGCAATGACAAATCTAGACAGCATCTTAAAAAGCAGAGACATCACCTTGCCGACAAAGGTCTGCATAGTCAAAGCTATGGTTCTTCCAGTAGAGATGTATGGAAGTGAGAGCTGGACCATAAAGAAGGCTGACCGCCAAAGAATTGATGCTTTTGAATTGTGGTGCTGGAGGAGACTCTTGAGAGTCCCCTGGACTGCAAAGAGAACAAACCTATCCATTTTGAATGAAATCAACCCTGAGTGCTCAGTGGAAGGACAGATCCTGAAGCTGAAGCTCCAATCAATACTTTGACCATCTGATGAGAAGAGAAGACTCCCTGGAAAAGCCCCTGATGTTGGGAAAGTGTGAAGGCAAAAGGAGAAGGGGACGACAGAGGACGAGATGGTTGGACAGTATCACCGACGCTACCAACATGAATTTGACCCAACTCCGGGAGACAGTGGAAGACAGGAGAGCCTGGCATGCTCTGGTCCATGGGGTCACGAAGAGTCAGACACAAATTGATGACTAAACAGCAACAAGTGATATTTATTTAGGGCAATCTAAGAGAGAGGTACATAATTGTCAGCTAAAGTGTAAATGCAAGGGATGTGGTGAGATGGTAGAAGTTCTTGAATGTCCTGCTGAAAACAGTGTCATATCTTTAATTAAGGTTTGCACATTTTTTCTGCATACTGAAGTACCAAGATATTGTGCAAAGTAAGATACAAAGTAAAAGTTACAGAAGAAACAAATATTCATTGTTGTACTTAAATCAGAGTAGCTGCTCCCTGTTACCTGACATATGTCACCAAGTTGGACTTCTTGCCATGATATTCTTTCTCTTAGTCAAGAGATGTAGCTACAATGGCTTTTGGTCCTTGACCAATAACATAAGCCAGAGACAACTATAGACACAATGTATTTAGGAAAATAAAATGGATGATGGAGAGTATATATATAGTCCAGAGTTTCTAAAGGGTGACATAAAAATCTAACAGAGAAAACGTTTGCTGTTGTTATTGTTCAGCAGAAATATAAAATTTTATTCCAGGAAGAAGAATTGGAAGCTCAGATTTCATTTCTCCAGGGACAACTGAATGAATTGGAGGCCATGTGCAAATACTGTGCAAAGATGATGAATACACATCTGGGTAAGAAGATACTCTTCTTCTTAGATATGGAATGCCATGAGCATTGCTACTGGATGATGATTTCCAAGTTTATGTAAGTGGCACCAAGTCCAGCACAAAAGAACACTCTGTAAAACTTGAACAGGAAAAATGGAGCACTGCAAAATAGGATTGACATTACTGAGAATGTGACTACACAGTGAGGGAAATGCAAATTAATTCTCATTCTTTCACTCTGAAGCTCCATAAGGGCATTCCATTCTCATTGATATAAGTGGCCATGCAAGCAGAGAAGAAGAAAGAAATTCTTCTGGTTTTTAACAAGAGAAGCTGGTGGGGGGGGGGTTCTGTTAGGAGAGAGGCTTTGCAGAAAGAGATTAGCACTAGCACTGCTTGGGTGTGTGCACACACAAAATGCACATGCTCTCCTGGTTCTCCCTCATGAGGTTGGAGGTAAGGGGAAGGTGCTTTGCCAAATCACCACTCTATGTGTGTGTTTGTATACTCTGTTGGTTTTCCATTTCTCCACTGGAGAAAACAAAAGGGTTCATCTTTTTAAAAGTAGAAGGACTTATAGTGGGGAAGAAAAACTACAAATTTGGGGTATGGGAATCTGGGCTGGGTTGTTGTTGTTTTTCGGTGCCAAAGTGATCTAGTAATAAATTACTGTATCATTGCAATGGCTCAGTGCTAAATGTGTTTATTCAAAAAGTAAGAAAATTCTGGAACACTCAAGGTACTGATTGGGAAGGCAGGTGTTCTTGCAGTCCCTAAACATCAGGCTCCAACTGCGTATGTCACCACAATACCATCCACTGACACACCCTCCCCCCAATCATTTTGTAGAACAAAACCACTCCTCACACATTCCAGCTTGAAAAAAGTAGAAGCCCCGCCCCCCAACAGCAGAGAAAAAATCTCTACACTCACACATTCCAGCTTGAAAAAAGTAGAAGCAGAGAAAAAATCTCTACACCGGGAGCAAAAAAAGCTGGACTGATTTGAATTGGTCTTTGTATCATGTGATAAATTAAAAAATAACCCAAATGTATCCGTTTTATACCCACGGTATCTGACCATGTAGCTGCAAGCTGAGTTTGATCTTGCTTTCATCTCTCTACCTGAAATGCAAGTATATTTCAGCTGGAGACATTTGTATACTTAACTTTATGTTATGATAGTATCTTATTTACAAAACAGTAAGATAGCCAGCAATTAAGGTTTTATGAATTTTCCCCATTGTGTTCTGTACATCATGATCAGAACTCTTCTTTTACTGTTTTCTGACTGACAAGAATTAACCAAGAAAGTTTCTCAAGCTTTATCTGGGGTTTAATTAATTTTGGAACTGATGCATGGACAGCTTTCCCTTGCTGCAATTTTTCATGTGTGCATACGGTTTTTCTTTTTCTGTCCAAGTAAGATGTATATCCCCATCAGCATCATAGTGTTCTTCTGGGTCTCATTTGAAAGAAATAGATCTTCATTTCAGAGACCGAGAGAGAGAAACAACACATGTTTTTTAATGAAAAAATTACACTGAATTCTGCGGATGCCAATATTTATTTTCAATTTTCCATCAAGAAGTGCACTAGTGGTAGAACTAGGGAGCTCATACTTGCTCTTCAAACAGAACAGTTGACTAGTCTGAAATTGACGAGGGCTACAATCTTGTGTGCTCATCAACCTATCTACTGTACAATTTTTATAGAATCGTAGATTACTTGAAATTAAATTGAAACTGTTTAAATTTATCATTGGCTTGTTTCTCCCTACCAGGGATTTCTATCTCAGGTGCCAAAATAACCTGGACAACTCTGTAGTTGATGGGCGGGGACTGGGGAATGTGCTATTCTTCCTCATTCAAAAAAATCTTTTGCACCTCCAAAGCAAAGCTTCTGTGTGTTTTAAAACTTTACTTCAGGGATCTACATGATCTAGGGACATTATCTGTGGAAATTGTTCCGTGGTCACGTGGCCAGCGTGACTAGACACGGAATGCTGTTTGCTTTCCCACCAAGGTGGTACCTATTTATCTACTCGCATTTTTGCATTTTGTATGCTTTCGAATCACTAGGTCGGTGGGATCTGGGACAAGTGATGGGGGCTCACTCCATCGCGTGGATTTGATCTTACAGCTGTGCTGTCTTTGGGACTTTATTTGGTATTCTGCTAACATCACTTTTTTGGGCGGTTTTTCATATTAGATTGCCCAACTAGAAAACTAATTTTTTAAACAACAAACTTCACTTATCTCTCTAGTGCTAAGTTTATAACTGTATTGTCTGGAACATGAAGAAGGAAAAGATGGGTTAGAATGGTAATTTTTGTTTATGTGTTTACACAAAAGCTTTCTCATTAAATGTTCATCCACTTCTTTTGCTGCACCACAAAATGACAACATAATTATATATTTGGGATCCTGCCTCTATGTTACTATGGAAATGAATGTGATGTCTTGAATAATCTATACAGTGTGTATTAGAGTGCTAAATTCAGTCTTGTGATGAAGATCAATAAATGGGCTATCACCTTTACATTTTGTAGACAGCCCATTATATTAGGAGCAAAGGACATTGAAACCACACATCTGCTTGTTAACTCTTTAGTAGAGCACTTGGAAGAGTGCTTTATAACTTATTGAACAGATCAAATGAATCAAAATATTGGTTGCCAAGTTTTGAATAAGGTAAAAGGATTTTTTCCACTCCTCTTACGATACTATGAGAATCAGTCACCCAAGAGTATTTAGTTCATAGTAGATTGAATACAGATGAAGGAAAAGTTTTTCATTCTGTGTATACTTTGCTTACAGAATTCATTGCCACAGGATGTGGCCATGACTTACAAAGCTTTAAAGGGCAGTTAGAGAAATTTGTAGAAAACTAGCCTATCAATAGCTATTAGCCATTATAGGACAGAGTCTCCATGTTTAGCATCACTTGTACATCATAAAACCATATACAAGTAGTTAACTATTGTTGTTGTTGTTTAATCGTTAAGTCATGTCCAACTCTTTGTGACCCCATGCACCAGAGCATGCCAGGCCCTCCTGTCTTCCACTGCCTCCCGTAGTTGTGTCAAATTCATATTGGTAGCTTTGAT